CGGCTGCGGGCTGTCCCCGCTGTCCCCGGTGCCTCGGCCCGGGCAGGCCTTGCGGAGCCGTGCGGCACCGGCAGGTGGCTCTGACCGCTCTGGAATCACAGAATCACTGCGCTGGAAGAGACCTTCATGATCATCGAGTCCAACCCAGCCCCAACTAAACCCTGGCACCCAGTGCCACATCCAGGCTTTGTTAAACACACCCAAGGATGGTGACTGCACCACCTCCCCGGGCAGACCATCCAGAACTTTATCATCCTTTGCGTGAAAAACTTTTTCCTAACATCCAACCTAAATTTCCCTTGATGCAGCTTGAGACTCTGTCCTCTGGTTCTGTCCTCTGCAGAAAGAGACCGACCCCACCTGACTACAACCACCTTCAGGTAGTTGTGGAGAGTGATGAGGGCACCCCTGAGTCTCCTTTTCTCCAGGCTGAGCACCCCCAGCTCCCTCAGCTGTTCCTCACAGGGCTCGTGTTCCAAGCCCCTAAATGCGGCTGTCCCCGGGCCGGGCTGTCCCGGGATCACTGGGCCGGGCACAGCGGAGCCCCGGTGGGCAGGGTGTGGGTGAACTCCCTCCAGCACACCCCGACACCCGCAGGGCAGCGAGCTTCTCCGTCCTGCTCAAACATCAGGGACACCTGAATAGTTTGGGACAGCTTTCTTGGCTGCACACATGCTTCAGCAGGGAGTGTTGGTGAATATCAAGTGTCTTCCCCCTTTAGTTCACAGAATATTTGATTTGGAAGTGACCCAAAAGGATCATCAAGTCCAGCTCCTGGCAGGAGTCATAGTCCCCAGGAGCCACACCATGTGCCTGAGGGCTTTGTCCAAATGCTTCTTGGACTCTGGCTGGCTTGGTGCTGGGACCACTGCCCTGGTGCCCAACCACCCTCTAAAAAATAAAAAAACTTTTTCCTAATATCCAACCTAAACCTCCCCTAACACAACTTGAGGCTGTTCCCTTGGGTCCTGTCACCGACTGTCAAAGAGATCGTTTCCATCCCTCTGCTTCCCTGTGTGAGAAAGTCTGACTGCAATGAGATCCCCCTAAGTCTCCTTTTCTGGTTGTCTGGGTACTCCCAGTCTTCATTTGTACCATTCAGTCTGTTCCTTACTGCCAGGTTAGGAAGCAAGCCACTTCCTAAAGTAGATGTGGGAATGTTTTTCTGCTTTTTAGCACCCTCTGAAGACCTTTTGACACAGGTATTGCAGCAGGAAGGGGTGAAAGGAAGGGTCTAATATGTACTGGAGTGAGCAGTAGCAGGATAACAAGACTTTGGGTTAAAGCAGTGGACCAGCATGTTTGCCTTTTAGGCTATGAGAGCTATCTTCTCCTTCCCCATCTCTCCTGAGTCTGATATCTGTTTATTTATAGACTGAAGACTGCCTAAAATTGGGGATGTTGCTGGAAAGCTGTTTGGACAGTGGCTGCAGCAAGGCTGAAGCCAGGAGAGGGGCAGTTCTGGGTGTGAGAGCTACCAGCCCACAGGCCTAGAGCAGAGGAACATTCAGGACAGATGCTGCCATTCCTGAGCTTTTCCTTAGATATTTTCCAGCAGGAGGCCATCGCAAGGTGACAGTGACAGACACAGGTAATTGCCTGAGAACTGGAGTTTCTTGGCATCCCTGCTTTCACTGCTATCCATGCCTCTCAGGCAGAGACTTTCCTATTCTTGTGCCAGCTTGTTACCCTTTCCCAGATGTTTCCCTCAGTCTGCCTCTCAGACACTCTGAAACTTTAGGACTGGGACAGGGACACACACATGACCATAAACCTCCAGGGTTTGTCATATCCTCCTAGAGGGAGGAACCTGTAACCTGTGTATTACAAGATAGGTTTGTAGCTGTGCTAGAACAAATGTCATACCTGTATTATTTTAAATTGTTATCTAAATGCAGACCAAATCTTTTTGGCAACTTTCCACGTGTCTTGTCATATTAGAACAGCCTCAGATCTTTGAATTTTCTATCAGATTTCTACAAGAGATGCCCTGGAGTTAGACCACAGAGCTGTGGTTGGTTGTGCCAAGCAGAGAGGCATGAATTCCCTGTGACTGATGTGTGCTGATGAGGAACATACTGGTGGCCTTGGAAATCCTGCAACAAGAATAGGCAAGCCAAGTTCTCAAGGGCTGAATCTTTTGTGGATAGTCTGGAAAACAGTGACCACTTAGTGATACTGAGTTATCCTCCAGCCTCCCTGGTGCAGTGGAAAGTATTTCTCAGAGGCAAAGGGACTGTTTGTTTACTCAACATCATGTGGACAACTTTAATCTTCTTTTCCCAGCTATAGATGTGCTGTTAAACTCACACTTGGCAACAGTTAATGTGAAGATGTTTGACAGCCACTGGAGAAATCTGTTCAAGAGGGAAAATATTAGCTCAATAACAGGACTTCATTATGTCTTATAAATATTTAGCAGTCCTGTAGTTCAGCAAAATAGCAAGCTGAGTTATTTATTCCATTTTTGTCATTTTAGCTCTTGAAAAAAGTGGTATGCAAGTTCCCAGAAGTGTATCATGGTAGCTGTAGCATGAAATGTCTGTTCCATCCCCATTAACTAGAGGAGTATAATTGAATTTAAGTGGCTAAAAAATAATCACATTGCCTACTGTATACTTTTCACTTTGTCTCTTAATCACAGAAAGATTAGACCCACTATGTCAGTCTTGGTTCTGTTTAGCCACAGCCACAAACATTTGTCCTCTGTGAGGTCTTTGACAATGTGCTCACTCAAAGGGCTTCATCCAGTCTTAAAAGCAGGGCCTGGTAGTAGCTGAGTTCCTGAAAATTTGTCTTAGCAAGTTGAGTGGGATTGTATGTATTAGCTACTGAGATGGAAGATTTAGCATACCAATAAAAACCTTCTGTGGGGCAAAGAGAGAAGAAGGTCCTAGGAAATCCTGAATGATTCTGGTAATCACTGTTCAAAGCTACAAGATTACAGGAGAACCCAACAGAGGTTAAAAAATCCAGCAGATATTTGGGATCAGGTTGTCCAAGGTTAGCTTGGCTATCTTTACCAGGCTGTGCAGTGAGATTCTCAGTCTTTAGTTGGACTCAGTTACTGCTGCATCAGCCTTAGATAACTTCTCTCTCTAATGCCACAGAAGAAAATCTCCATGTAGATTTTACAACAACAAAAAAAAATCTGTAGTCGGTGGAACCCCTCTATGATGGGTTGCAGTCTTGAACTCTGACAAAATTTTTGCTTTCCAAAATTTGGCTGTGTAGTATTTTTCTTCTTTGCATTCTGTTAGAAAATTCCTCTCTAGTGCATACCTACAACAGACACACATACATAAGGATAATTAGGACTGATTTGTAGCCTCTCTTTAGCACCTTTGCTCTCTGAAGAGGTGCACTGCCTTTCTTCTTCTCAGTGCCTTGTTCTCCAAATCCACAGAACAGCTGCCTTTGTCTTTGTTGTCAATTTTTAATTTACCTTCCCCTGATGATTGTGATCAAGAAGAGTTTCTCTCCAGTTGTACTTGAACGCAGGCAGTTCTGGAAGAACCAGATCAATGCAGAAGAGTGGCTCTACTGCAGTCAAACTGAGAACACGTTTCCATTATAATTGAGGGAATTATTTTGTTACAGATCACTAGAAATGTAATTTTATTTTATTTTATTTTTTTTTACTGCTACAAAGATCGTTCTTTTAAAGAATAGCTGGAATATTTAAGTTGGTTCAGTATTATTGGGTGCCTTGTTATATTCTCCAGTGATGGAGTGTGACATTTTTTTCCTATTAGGAAATACTCAGAAAACCAGAAGTCTTACTGCACTGAAATAACTCTGCTGCTGCATGAATAGTGAAGCAAACTCAAAAGGGGTCTCTATTGGAACAAGCTGTGATGGCCTTATCTACTTTGCAATGAGCCACCTTACATACAAATTGCAAACTAAGCGTTTTCAGTTCTTGTGTGAAATTGGGCTCCTGGGTTTGGGTTTGGGTGTCTGGAGCCACGTTCACTCTCTCTGTGACAGGAGCAGTGTGGGGTTTTCCTTTGTGGCTGTCCCTCTCCCAGATGTGCTGGGGGAGCTGATCTCCTGCTTTGCTTTGGTCCAACCCCTACTTGCAGTCTCACCTGGCTAAACTTTCACCTGGCCTGGGTAATCCCACCCTGAATCATGCTAGTTCTGGTCTTACATTCTTTTCTGCTGCACAGGGTACAAACCACGTGGCTACTCTTAAATTACTTTGGTAGTTTGACAAATCTGCTGTCTGCAAGGTCTTTGAGCAGAGTGGCAGCCCAGGAATGTCCTTTATTACAAAATCTCTGTGGTCCCTCAAAGCTGTTGTTAAAGTGCACAGGTATTTCTGCATTCCCAGGAAACTAGTATTTTTTCAGGATCCTTTTGTAGGGGTACAGGGAATCTCCTGTTAGGTAATGAGAATATAAAGCTTTCTAGTAAATGGTAGTCAGGGATGCTGTTTCAGTTGAGGTCTCTTACAAAGGTTACACACGGAAAGAAGGATCATACCAGGTCTGCAGTCTGGGAGTGGATGCTAATATGATTTTTCAGAACTCCCAGCTGCAATCTCCCCAAATCTCAATCTGTGTTTTTCTGGCTTTAATTTCATTTTGAATTCTTCTTCCGAGTACTTACAAAAATAGTTTTTTAATAGCAGCAGTCACAGCCAGTTCTAAACATGATTAGTTTATATGTTAAATCCTTTCTGAGTTCTCAGGGGAAGCAGATAACACAAGGTCTCTCTCACTCGGGCATTTTTAAAATGCATGAAATTCTACTATTTCCACTTATTTATTTTTAATCTGACAGCTCTGCTAAATTAGGAGCAGAGATCTCTGTCTCACCCTTTGCTTCCTTAATGCCTTGAAATCGGCTTTAATAAAAATCAGCTGCTGGGAGCTGCGGCTGGGAGCGGCGGAGCTGCCTCGGAGGGAGCCTCCTTAGCGGACCCCTATGATGTCAGGATGCATCGAGGCGAGCGGAGCGGGGGCTCGGGATCCAGCCCAGTGCTCGGCCGGCGCTGCCAGGTCCCGCTGCCCTGCGAGAGCTCCGCAGAGCGCTGCCCGATCCCTCCCGCGGCCCCGCAGAGCCCCCGGCTCCCCCTGTCACCCGCCTGCATGAGGACCCAGCAGTGCCCCAGCGAGTCCAGCGGGGCACACAGTGCCGAGAACTGCAGCAGCAGTGGCAGCTCCGGGCTCTCGCCGGGCTCGGATTCAGACAGCAGCGGGGTGGTGTGTGGTGGTGGTGGCATGAGAGGCGTCCTGTCCAGGTACTGGAGCTTGGAGAGTCTGCACTCTGCCACAGGTAAGGGGCTCTTTTCTTCCTTTTCCTTTTTCTTTTTATTTTTTATTTTTTTTAACTGCTCTATGATATTGCACTGACCTTGAGAAACCAGACCTTCTGGAAAAAGTATATAATTTGGAAATGCAGTATCTTAGTCTAGAGAGATAACCAAAGCATTCGGTATTTGCTAGCTATACCCTCTGCAGACTTAAACCTGAACCAAAACAACACAGACCCTTAATAGACTTCTTAAGTCAGGAGGGAAGAAATAGGTTTTTAATGGCTTTGGAAACAGTGTGTAGGCTTCTACCTGATTAAAGCTGTCCTTGCCTATTGGAACATTTCTCATTTCAGCTTAATCATATAGAGCTGAACGTTAGAGTTGATATTTCTCTGTGTAAATTCCAGTGGAGAGAGTATCACTGCCTCTAGAAAATGCCTAGGCGAGCGCTGTGCAGCAGATGAGAGCTAGGTAGGGTTGCACTGCCGTGCACTGAAGGAGGGAAAGGCAGGTCCCTGAGCCAGCTGCTCAAGTTCAGTTTTTGCTTTCCCATCCACTATTTAATGTCTTTCTGAACCAGAGATTTTGGAGGCATGTTCATGTAGCCTGGACCTGTTCTGGCTCAGTCTGTCTGGATCTGGCATTCTGGTTTTTAGTTACTGATGTGCCTGTTTAGGGTTTGAATGTTTGAACTGCAAGCATAGTAAAGAAGGTTTCTCATTCCCAACTGATCCTAGCAAAGGATCCTGGCAATGATGTTAATGGCCAATGACTGCTGAGCTGTTCAGCTGTTGCTGTTTAGAGAGATTTTTAATAGAGCTGCGGTAAATTAGTTCCTCTCTTAGATAAATTCAGACAAGTGCCTTCAAGGCCACCAGTGACTGCCATTTCCTTAGTGAGAATACCCAGTGCTACCAGCTAGAATCAAGGCTTGGGAAGAATTCAGGGTGCAGTTCTGTGTAATCTGCTTTAGTTGTGTGTACTTTTAATTATTGAAAGGTTTTATCATTCCATCTGCTACTGTAGATCCGGAGCTGTTTAATAAAATCTCCATTGCAGCTCTGGAGTCTCTGCTGAAGTGTGAGTTAACTGCACAACCATACAGGAAAGGGCTACAGACTTTCCACCCTGCACACCCTACCTTCTAGGTGGCCAAAAGCACTAACCACCTACAGTACATCCTGAGAGTCCAGGGACAGGAAAAAAAGCTGAGGGTGAGATCAAGCCATTGGTGCTCTGTTTTGGGGAAAGACCTGGGCTGCAAGTGCAAGATGATGTGCTTTTGCATTCTCAGTAGCATTTGCTGGCTGTTTTCTCTTGTAACTGGGAGTGCAAGTTAGCCCCAGCATGCTCTGACATTGGCATGAGGTAAGTCTGGCACAGGGTCTTTCTGCAAGCTCTGCTCAGAGTTCTGTGGGGTTGCAGCAGTGGCTCCATCCCCTCTGTGTCACAGGGTTTGCTGTCAGCTGCCCTCCCTGGAAGCATTCTTGGGCTTAATCAGGTCACTTGAAACAAATGGTGAACAGTGATACAAAAGAAGTGAGGTTGATGGCAAAAGCAGGCTCTGACATTAAGTCTGTTTTTCTAAATGCTCTTTCATTTCTACAATAGTCTTGCTCCCAAGGCTGTGAGGCATGGTGTCATTTTGTGAATGCCACATGTGTTTAGCAGGAAATATAGAGATGTGAAGAAATGGAACAGAAAATGGTATGGAGACAGACTGAGGACAGGGAGAAACCAAATTAAGTTTCATAATTACAGTATTGATATATAAATGCAATAATAAAAGCAGATCACTGCATTTCAGACTCCTTGCTGCCTGTGTGGTAGGTGTCTTCTCATGTGCAAAAGTTTTCTGAGCAGTTTGTCTCTAACTACTAACACAATTCAGGTCAGAATTAGGATTAAACTTTGAGAGAAATGGATCACTAGGGAGAATTTATTTTGTTTTGATTCTTCTCTGTCAGAATTCTTCTTTGGCTTAAACTTAGGAAGTTGTGGTAGAACTGCTTCTCTCCACCAATGTCAATTGCCTGTTTGAGGAGTGATGCAGGATTTCTTTAAAGCTTGTGCTGAGTGACATTTTTGAATGGTAAAATTTAATACATTGTTTAAACCAACCAAAAAACCCGAACAGAAAACCCAAGAGAAAAACCCAGCAGGAGCAGTAGCAGCTGGCGATGCGTGAGAGAAGCAGCCACTAAAATGTGTGGCAATGTCCTCTCCTCGGAGGAGCAGGCAGCCTCCAGCACCTTTCCATGGAGTTAGGGGGGGAAGAAAGAGTCCAGACTGTTTGGAAATACTATGAAGTGCCCAACATTGCATTAAAAGAGGTCTGAGGGATGAGCCAGTCCCTTTCCCTGTTTGAAGGGGATCCTGCGTGTCCTTAAGTCTGCATAGGCGGACTTGGCAGAGAGGGTTTTGCTTTTTTCCCCTGTGTGTACATCACCTTTTCTGTAGGGATCTTTATACTGACTCTGTTGCTGTCTAAGACTTCAGGGAAGAGTAGAAATAAGCCAGATTTGAAATACTGAAATGTGGAGGTGAAAAGAAGGTGGGAGGTACGATTGGAATGCATCCATTGGAGTTTTTCTTTTAGATAATTTAGATTCCAAGGAGGTGAAGAGACAGAGATGTGTGTTTATGTATGCATGTGTTTAACAGTGTGTGATTCAGAAATACAAATTGACATCTCCTGTGTAGAAAAGACAGAGTTTTCTGAGGTTCACCGGAGAAAAAACTGTCTTTGGTTTACCTTCCTCTGCAGTCAGTAATGAAGTATACAATTCCTTTTGGTTTGGGGTTGACCTTGTTGTAATATATTGATCAAGAGGGGAAGCTAAATGTGACAGTTGAAAGAGAAAAGACCTGTTGTTATAGCATAAACTTCAGTGCAAATGCTGCTTGAAATACAATGCAAAAAACCCCATGGCTCAAGTTTGTGAAGTGAAAAAAAAATCTACTGTTTTTTAGTATCAGTGGCATTTCTGGTCTAAATGTCAATAAACACTACCTTACACGAGAAGGCCCTTCTCCCTGAAGCTAAATATAAACATGAAAATAAGGAATGAAATAAATAAAATGAAAATAAGGAATGCTTTACTCTCCTACCAGGCTCTTCATTTGAGGATGCCAGAGGACTTTGCAAGCATCAGTAACCCTCACAGAGGGCCCAAAAGACTTTCAAAGCATGATTTAGGATAGATAAAAAGGTATATTTGATACTTGGACAGTATCCTTGCTATTTTTAAATACTTATGAGCAGTGTCCAAGTTCTGTGCAGATGTCCTGTGAGAAAAGGACTGGGAGTTGGGGTGGCTCAGCAATTCTGAAAATGGGGCTGTAACTATCTCAGCTGGCCAAAACCCCATAAGGCATCCGGATTAAAAGTCACTTGTGCCAGTGCTCCAGCCAGTGGTTCAGTGGCACTCTGGGTGCTCTAGCCCTGGTTTCCTAGGCAGGACTTGGTACCCCAGGGCTGCCTGTATCCCATTCATCACTGTTGTACAACTCCACTGAAAAGTTTTTCCTTTAGAATGTTTCCAGATTCAAGCCTGTGAGCAGCTCTCTTTGCCTTTCCAGCTCCTTTGTTGCAGGTCCAATCCCGACCTCATTAACACTTCTGTTTATTCTTTTTCTTGTCCAAGTTGGGAAGGGCTGGAAGAAAGGTAGGGACAAAGGGAGAATCACAACCTGGAGGACTAGTGGTTGCCATAGTTTCCCTGGGATCCTCAGTGTATTTGTGCATATGTAGCAATTTAATTGTACAGGCTCCACTTCAGTGCGCCTCTGCACAGATTTGTGGCTCCTAATATGCAGATATGCTCATCTACTGCCCTTGGGAATATGGCCTTTAAACAAACTAGAAAACATGAAGCATGGGTGTGGAGGTTGTTTTTTTCTTCATTCAGAGCTTAAAAAGAAAATTGTGGGTTTTTTAGGAAGGTTTTTTCCAAGTCATTCATTTCATTGTTGTGGCTGATGGGAGAGCCAGTAATAGAGCTGTGGCCAATGCTTTGCGTGGTTCTTGTTTGGCAAGAGATTTTCTTTTGAACCTTTTCTTTTTCCTTTTTCTTCCCCTAGCCCTGTCTTTTTGGTACTGATGTCTTCAGCTGTGTTCATGGACTGCAGTGCATAATTCAACTGAGCCTTCTTTCTCTAGGGTCACTCAGCAAGAGTTAGAGGTCACAAAAGGGGAGATTGATTTAAGGTTCAAATTGCTTCAGAATGCATCAAAAGGCAAACAGGGAGGAAAAAAAGTGAGTGCCTCAGAGCATCCAGTGCAGCATCTCCAGGTTGTGTTGCACCATTACCTTGGCAAATCCTGAGCTAGGATATTTCAGCTGGATTCATTGCTTGCACTCTAACATGTCCTGTGTGTTCCCTCATATATCCCCTGTCACCTGCCAGAATAACTCCCACTCATCTTCTGAACAAATAATTGATGGATTTAAGAACAAACAAACAGTAATCCATGCTAAATTCACTTGGCTGGTTTTTTTTCTCTGTGTAGATTAATTTGTAGTGGTGACTGGTAAACCTAAGGGCAGTCCTGAACTTTTGAGGAAGAATTACAAGATGCACATCTCTTGGATGAGCTAGTGAGCTGCCCTAAAGCTTAAGTAAATATTTCTTAGTTAAAAATACATCTTCCACATAGTGTTGAGTGTTGCTGAACTGTGACTTGGCATCACATTCAAATAGTGAGGGCATCTATATTAGTAAGTGGTTGAGTTCGTTCCAGTAAAGGGAATCTCAGTCAATGCTAAATGTGTGTAAACTTGGCCACCTAACACATTTAGTACACTTACTAAATGGGGTTTTTTTTCAGTGAAGAGTATCCTCTAGCATCATGCTTTTCCATTAAAGGGAATAAAAATAGTGTTAATATAGGTAGGAAGTCTAATCATGTTTCTGTACCTCTGTTTGCAGCAGAACCAGATTTTGTAAGTTCAGCTACTTTGGAGTTCTAATTGCATGTTAATGTATTGGGGGTAGTTCTAGTTGATTTTCCCTTGAG